GTTTCAGACGTGCCACCTTCGATCTCCCTTTTCATCAAATTAAAAAAAAAAGAAAAAAAAAATATAAACAAATATTTTTTTATTACACAGATGGGAGATACTTCCCAAACACAAGTTGCTATTTGGTTATTAATTGGATTACATATTATTTCTTTTATTGCGGTAAGTGTTTTTCATGTAATTAATACAATGAAAAGTGATAAAATCAATTATCAAATTCATGTATTTTTTGTTTCAATGTATTTATTCATAACCACAGTAATACTCACATTATTATTTGACTTTTTTGATTTAAAGTCAGATGGACCAATTAATTCGTCAATCTATAATGTAGCATCATTCTTAACGTCTTCTTTAAATCACTTCTTTCAACTTACATATTTCTTTGTTGCACTTGAAGTAATTAATAATTATATTGATAAATCACTTTATAATAAACCAACTCTATTTATTGTTTGTAGAAAGATTAATCAAGTATGTTATGTAATATTATTAATTATAATTAATCCATCTTTTGGATTCTTTTTTTATGGTTATTCTATAAAAACACAACCAGCAATTGATGTTTTATTTGATTGTGGATTTCTTTGGCAATATTATTGTGTTTTAACAATATTTTATTGTATTATTATGTTTATCTCATGTATTAATGCAATAATATTATCATATATGACTAAAGATGGAATAAGTTATTCAGGAATTTTATTGTCACCACTCAAAACAATGGTTTGTGTTGACATTGTTTCAGTACTATTTTTGATTCAATCATCTTTAAGGTTTATTTCAAATTTTTATATGATAGTAAGTGCACAAACATCAATTCCAAGAAGTTTTACTGATGAATTTAATACTTGGGTTCAATTTTTTGTGATCTGTATAGTCCATTTCCCTACTATGTTTGTATTGATCATATTATTGACTCCATTTACTAAAACAGCCAAATTTAATATGAAAGGATATTAACTAATAATTCATTAATAAAAACCATATCAATTTATTTTAATTCAATTTTTGGCATCCCATTTCTTAATTCGTTCATCATTTTACATGCCTGACAAAGAGAAGAACTTGATTGCATTCCACAGACTGTACATCGTTGTGACTTTTTTAATTGTTCTTTTTTTAATTCAGCCTTTGCTTGTTCATTACTAATAACACAATTGTGTATAATTGTTGGATGTAAAATTTGTGTTTTTTGTAAGAAAGTACGAGCATTTCCTCTAAATGCTGTTCCTGCATAAGTACATTCAACACTAAAATATTGTAATTTCATATAATGAGCATATAACACAACCTCTTTTTGTGTTAAAAGACTAAAAGGTTTAATTCTAATAATCCCATCTTCTCTTTCTAATTCCCTTTTTAAGCTTTTACAACGTTCTAAACGAGCAACATCTCCTCTCAAAAAATTCATTAATACAGTCTCAGCAACATCATCTCCATTATGACCAGTTGCAATAACATTTGCCCCTACTTTTATTGCAGCCTTTTCAAGACATTGTCTTCTTAATACTCCACAATAACTACATGCATTCTTTCCTCCTCTTGTAACAATTTCATCCATTGTCATTCCATAAGTTTCTATGTAAGAAATTATTTCTAAAGGAAGTTGTAAATAATTTTGAAGCCATCTCACACACTCTAAAGACTTGTCTCTATACCCAACAATACCTTCATCAACAGCAACTAAAGTATATTTTGCACCAGATGGCCATCGTTTTTCTATTCGAGTTAACATTGTTGCTAATGCTGTACTATCCTTACCACCACTAACACCAATAACTATATGGTCAGTAGGGTAAATCAATTGAAATTCATCAATACATTGATGAACTAATTTTTCAACACGATCAATAAAACATTGTTTACAAATTAATTTACCGTCTGAAGTTTTAGTACAAACAGGATAAGTGTCGCAAAGTTGACATTTGACCATTGAATTCTTGTAATTTATTTTAGTTTTTTTTTTAGGTTTTAAAACAAATAAACAAAAATTAGAAATAAACAATTCAACATTGATTCATTAAAACATCTAACAACCATTAATAAATATTTAAAGGATACCTTTTGCTGTTTATTTCTTTTTTTGAGTTGAGCTAACTATAATTTCATTAATCAATCCTTTTCTTGCTATACTTTGTGATTGAATAAATTGGTCAACAAGCAAAGATGCTCGTTCTCCATTAATAAGTTTTTGTAATAACCAATCTCTAAAGGTTGAATCTCTTTGAAAATATTTAGACTCGGGAAATCTTGGTCTAAATGCTTTAACAGTTAATTTTGTTACAACAACAACTTCATATAATTCTTTAGAATCAATTATAACGGGATGGACAACAATAAACACATGATTGAAATGTGAAACAAATGATGAAATATCAACACTTTCATTTCCTTCTTTGAAAATAATAACACACACATCATTACCAATATGTCTCTTCTTATCTAAGAATTGATCATCTCCTTCAACATGTTGTAACATTGTTGATACATGAAACATTATTTCCATTTGACAAAATTCAGTGAATAATGACTGTGTACCTGTTGTATTTGTAACAACATCCAATCCAGCCTTATATTTAGTAAATCCTTTTAATTGAATTGTTTGACCTAGTAAATTAAAGAATTCCAAAGCAAGTGGAGATGGTTCTTTATTTGATAAAAATTCATCTTCTGAAACTTGCCCTGGTATTCCAACAACAATTCCAAATTTTTCTTTATTATTATTTAATCTATCTTCAAGAAAAATAATTTTGTCTAACATTGTATTTCTATTTATTATAAATTTATTCTCAAATTAATTAAAGAAAAAAAAAACAAACGGTATTACTTTTACTTTATTATGAGTATTAGTCATAAGCATAGAATCAATATCATCATCAATTGTATTTAAATTTAAATAACATTTAATTGTATTTTTTGGATTAAGAATAACTGCTTTACAAACACCTAGTTGATTAGATTCACCACAACAAACAATACAACTATCTCCAAAACTATATATTTTTTTATTATTTTCTTTTGAAATAACATCTTTAATAGGTTTATCCAAATAATGTCTATTAAGAATTGGACAAGATTCAACAATAGTATCTGTTATACAATCGCAGTCATATTCAACATGAAAATTTTGAAAAGTTTCAGAAGTAACAAGACTTGTTTGTTTTTCAGGATTTTCATATTCAATAAAAGATTCAACATCAATATCCATTGATGTATACCAATCATCTGCAATAAATTCTTGACATTCAGGTGGTAATATTTCTGTAGGTGGTATTTTATTTACTGGAGTAAAAATAAATTTTAAAGAATAAACATATTGATCCGTTTCAATTCTTTTAAAAGTAGTAAGTTTTTCTTTAAATGAAATAAAATCAGAATAATGAAATCCATTTTTATCAATAATTTTAATTTCCAAAAAGTCTTCATTTTCAATTTCAAAATACATAATAAATTTATTATTTGTTATTTCACTTTTATGTTTTTTTTGATAATAACATAATTTTTTATTTCTTACAATTGCCCAAAACACATGTGAATGAGTTCCTGAAATTTTTTCTGCTGTAATTTCTAAACGAGACCTATTATTACAAACTGGCATTTTTTCTTCTAAATCACTGAATTTGAATATTACATTTGCTACATCTTGAGCTGAATTTCCTTCATAACATACAACTCTTAATATTCCAGAATATGTTAATGTTGGAGTTATTAATGGTAAAACATAAGTCATTCTTTTATTATTTGGAATATTTTGAACTGGATATAATGCTTTAGCAATTACTTTATTATTTTCAATAATTTCAAAAGATAAAATACTACCAAATACAACATCTTCAAGAAATACAGGTCTATTCCATATTGGATTAAGAGTATTTTTTTCAATGTTTGATTTTACTCGGACAATATTTCCTTTATTTTGTTTTTCATAAACAATTACTCCTACTAAATCTCTTTCTCCAAACTTACTTGTAAGAGGAATGTATTGAGCACAATATAAATTTACCCATAAGTTAATTTTTCTACAGGTAGATGGTCTTGGAGTTGGGGTCATAACGATAAAATACAAAAAATAATTTCAAAGTTTTAAACTATTGATATTAACCCATTGAAACTTATCCAAAAGTTCTTAGCTAAATTAACCAATCAATTCTTTATTTTTTCGTAAAAAATTTTGTTTTTATATTTTTCTATTTGTTTTTAAATTTATTAATTCTATTTTACTCAGAAGATCAGAACATTTTCTGTTTATTAAACTTATTTATTAAATTCTGAAAAACCAAATTCACATTAGTAATTGTTCAATATCTTTCTCTCCACACTTTTTTATTGGATCTTCTTTTAATTTTTTCTTAAAATCCTTAAAACTATTATTTTTTTTTGGTTTTTCTTCTTCTCTTTTTTTTTCTTTTTGCTCTGTTTTTTGTTCCATAAAAACTGAATATCCAGGAGGTGGTTCATAAACAAATGAAGTTTGGATTTGTCTTGCTACTTCAATTGCTTTCTCTTTCCCTAATTTTTTTTCTATTGACTCTAAAATTTCTTTTTGTTCGTTTATTTCTTTTAAACGATTTTTTTCATTTTCTTCTTTCTCTTTAGCTTCTAATTCTGCTAATTCAACTTTTAATCTGTTTTTATAATTACCTACATGCCATCGTTTCTTTGATAAAAATGACATGAATCTGTTAATCTTTTAGTTTTTTTGAAAATCTTTAAACCAAATAGTGGAAAATATAACTTTTAATTATCACTCTTTTACAGTTCCAAACGGTTGTATTATTCTTCTTTGATTCATTTCTTTAAGTGTTTTTCATATTATTTTTTATGTGGCGTATTAATTATTGATGTAATTTCATCAAAAAAATTAGAAGAAAGTCAGCAATATATAAAACAACTAATATATAAGTAGAAATTAAAAAAAAATCAATTCATTTTCAATGGAAATTCAGCTTCTGGGATATTTGGTTGGTCGGAACATACTTCAGGCATTTTCTTTCCCATATATAATCCACCTCCATAATACCATCTATCAGTTTCTCTTATTCCAAGTACTTGAGCAATAGACCATGCAGTTTCTTTTATGTCCTGCATAATTTGAATATATCTACCATAAATCTTAATTGCACCTACAAAAGCATAAACATTATCTCTGTTAATAGTACTCATTAAAATATCCAAATTTTCTAAAGCATCAACAAAATCTACATAATCATCAAATAAAGTTTTTAATATTTTCCATAAGAAATTTTTATAATTTGATTTATCACTTTCACTAACAATTGGTTTATACATTTGAGCATTTAATACTTTTTCAAAATGATGAGTAAAATCATTTAGATAAGTATGTGCTGGGAATTGTGGTTGATCTTTCAATGGAATAGAAACTGTATCAACAAAACATATTTTGGATATTTGAGCAAGGACTCTATTTTCTGCACGAATTACACTGAAATAATTATCTTTTTCTTTACCACTTAAAATAGCGTCTTGTAGTTCACAATATTTTTGCATAGCAACAGTTAATTGCCAAACTAAATTAACTGGGAAAGGGAGACGATGAACATTATCAGCTTGTTCTAAGAATTTAACAAAATTATAAATCCCACGTAATTTTGGTTTAGTTCTTTTAAATCCAACTGATTCATTGGGATAATCACATGAAACAAATACTCTAAGTTGATCAACAAAAGGTTTAATATATGAAACATATCTTAATTCAGGTGAATGGGCAAGATAAGGTGAAATAAATGTGAATGACTTTTCAATTGGACTCCAATATGTTAATCCAATAATCCGTCGTTCACTACCATTTTCTGTAATAAAACATACTTTATTTAATTCTGGGTGTGGATAGATACGTATAATTTTACCACCACATTCTTTCTTTTCAATTCCACTATATCGATAATCCCAAGTAAAAAACTTTGCTTTACCATCAGCAAGTCCTATGACAACAAAAAGGTTAAAACGAGTAATTGCTGTAACTCGTCTTTTGTTTTGTACAGCTTTTTTGTCTGTTTTAATATCATCTTCTGGTGCAATTTTAGTTAAAAATGTACCTGTTGCTGTATAAACTGATGCTCCACCAACAATATCTCCAATTACAAGGAAGGAATTATCTAAATAAATTTTAGAAATAGGAGCATCAGTGTATTGTAATATTGCTCTTGGAATTGCTATTGGTGTATTATTTTTTAATTCACCACCGAGAGAAAATATGTAAACAGCACGTTCATAAGCAACAGCAACATCACGATCATTATGAGCTACACAAACATATTTAGTTTCTTTATAGGCTTGAGGAACATTTCCTTGTTTAACAAGAACTCCATTAGATACATCATATTGTTGATAAAGAATATTATTGATTTCATTATTAATAACAACAACTTGATTTTGAAATCCAAAAGAATATTCATTATCACATTGTTTAATAATACTACACGTTAATGGGAATGAGGTAAAAGATTTACTTGTATTAAAACGATCAATTACCATCATTTTAGAATAGTTAAAGACAGCAATATATTCATTCCATCCAACCAAATATTTAGCAGTAATAAAATCTGGAGATGGGAAAAAATTTAAAGGGGCAGGATTAATATAATCTTTATTTGACCCTTGTTTTAAAAATTGAATAATTGATATTTTACGATCAGGATGAAGCATAAAAAGAGTGTTTTCATGAAAGTGAGTTGAAATAGGAGGAACAAGATCAATCATAATTCTCCGTGTTAATTCTGGAACTTTTAATCTTTGATGGTATTCTACAGATGAATTGTTTTCAAATAAAAAAACAAAACACGACTCATCATTTACGTACATTTTTTTACATTTATTTGACGATTGTCCAATATAATCAGGTTTTTGAAAGGTTTCTCCACTTTCTTGTATATTTTCAGGTATTTCTTTGTAAATAGTTTTATCAACTCTTTGCATAATGCTTTTTTGATTTCAAGTTATTTTTTTTTAATTTCTTAAAAAGAAAAACATCTTTTTATTTATGTGTTATTTATTACATTTTTTAATAAGAGACAAACTAAATGTTTAAACTTAACTATTTGGTTTTTGAAATAAACAAAAACTACAAAAAAATAAAAAATGGAAGAAGATCACGATCCTCGTAATGAACAAAATATCTCAAAACAAAAATCAAAGAACCTTGAGTCTTTTCAACAAGCAGTACTTATATACTTATTATCACGCGCTGGTGTTACTGTAGAAATTAAAAAACAAAAAAAAAGTGCAGAAAAAACATATCAAATTCAACCAGTACAATCAATTATTTATAACGGTAATGTTATTCAATTTGCTGATCGTATTAATGCACAAGCATCTAAAATGCTTGAAGAAGATAAATCTGAACAAAGACTTAGAAGATATGAACGGAATAAAATTGCATTAGCATTTAACGAATTAGTAGAAATAGCTGTTAAATTTGGATATGAATTTGGAGAAAAAAATACAAGAAAAGCACAAAAAACAGTTCGTATGAAAAAGATAATAATGGTTAAAAAAGATAATAAACCTATTATAGAACAAAAAGATATTGAACCTATTGGTATGGCAGTAAATAATTATATAGTTTCTCATTTTAATGAAGGAGTTTGCTTATGCAATGAAAATTTAGTTAATTATGTTAAAACAACTATAAACTCTCAACGAATCAATATGACTACAAGTCCTCTTTCTGGAACAATTGTAAAAGAACAATCAATCCATATGAATAATACATTATTAACTATACCTAAAACACAACAAGAACAGCTATTAATTATTCCAGATTCAATAAAATCAAGTGTTCCATCAAATAATAAAATTATTAATTCTCTTTCTGTACCAATATTAAATGAAACACCAATTATTCCTACACCTACATTAACAAATAACTCTTCTGGTAATCCTAATCAAATAGAATATAATGATATTGAAGAAGGAGAAATAATTGATATTAATAATCCTATTAATTCACCTTCAGAAGAACAAATTCAACAAAGTGATGCAATGAGTGAACAACCAGTTATTGAAGACCAACAAAAAGTTCTTCTTGTTCCACAAGGTCTTTTTGTTCAACCAACATTAGTTTCTCCTATGGGTATTCAGAAAGAATCAATTACTAATTCTGATTTTCCACTTCCTCAAACACAACAACCAATTAAAAAGGAAGAACCTCAATTTGTTTTTAACTCAATTCAAAAAACTGATATGGCTATGAGCCAAGACATTGGAAATGAATTAGGAATGAGTTTAGATTTCGCTGAGAATGAAAGTGGTCAAGAAAACCTTAATACTATTGAGAGTCATGATAATCAAAGTATGACATTTAATTTCTCAACTGGAGATGAAGATATGAGAACTTCCAGAGATGCTGTTGATACCTTTTTTACACCAAATAATGGTTTTGGTAAATTTGGTAAAGGAACATTTTATCATTAAATTATTAAATGCAAGTCTAATGGCTATTTTTCTTTTTAATGAATAAAATCTCTTACTAATTTATGTTCAATTATATAAGTTAATTTGTTTAATTATTTTTAATATTTATAAAAAATTTGATAAATTAATAGAAAACAATAGTTATGAATTAAGCAGTGTCTTGCCAAGTTCCAAGATCAAATCTATGTCTTAAATTCATATTACGTATTAATCTAAATTGTTCTTTCTTTGGAAGAGTTTCAATAATTTGTTTCATTTTTAAATGTAATTGGGGAAGAAGAGCTCTAATCTTTTGTAATTGTTCTAATTCTGATTTCATTTTAGTTAATGACTTTGCACGGTCAACACGTGATGACCCAAGCTTAGCAGCATCTTCATTCATATCATTGTCAGCATTCATTAATAATTTTCTTTCTAAACCTTCTACTTCTTTCATTTTATCTTCAATAGTTTGTACTTTTGTTTTAACCTCTTCAATACCAGCTTGACCCATACCACTTACTTCACTTTGAGCATAAATTGCTACAAACAATGTGAACAATAAAACAATACTTTTCATAGTTAAAATAATATATTTTTAAGTTCAGATCTTTTTTTTTTTATACTTCTTTTATTTTTAATTTTTTATAAATAACAAAATGATGAATAATGTTTTAATTACTTCTTTTGGCAAAGTTATTCATAATAGATTCTAATTGATTTTGTCTAATAGTTAATCTTTTTGCTCTGAAAGTTAATGAATTTTGTGCT